GGCCATGATCCTCACACTGTTCACTTTACAGCTATAGAGCTTTATCCCCCAGAAAATATCAATATCCGGGGGATATTTTGTGGGGGAAAGTTGGCCTCCTTTTTGTTTGCCTCTTGTTGGACGAAGTGTATCCTTTTTGAATATTGCAACTCTTTTGAGAGGTATATCAGAGAGTTTCCCTTTTGAACCTATTCCATTAGAACATTTTCATTCTTGCATAAGCTACGCATTCCTTCATTGCGTATGTATGTCATGCATTTTGTACTTTAGCATAGAGCCTACTTTTAATTGTGCATTGAACATGCGTTTTGTACTTTAGTGTGTAACATGCTTTGCATAAGATATGCATTGTTGTTATGTTGCACAGAATATGCATGTTGCATTATATTGCATTGTACATGCTCTTACATTTGCATAGAAAATGTTTGTACCTTTTGCATAGGACATATGTTTGCTATTGTTGCATGGAATATGCATGTTGGTGTTACATAGAACATGCTCCAATTTTCATTGCACAGAATACGCTTCTGTTTTGTTCCTTGCATGTTGTACATGAAACATGTCCCTAACATTGTGTCATGGTTATCCGTCTTCCATAGAACATGCACTCTTGCTATGTTATGCTTGTTGAGTTTCTTTCTTATGCAGGCACGATATTGTATGTACGGTTCATTAAGAGGAATTCCAGGTGAGATCATTCCTGTCCTTCGAATACCTTGATTTGGTTAAAAGCATTCGGGTGTGTTCTAGCGTTTACACCACTCCTTTCGGTTAGAGACATTTGGGCGCCTCCCGGTGTTCTCATTGCCTTTTCTCCTCCCGCGTTCGACGTGTTAGGACATCTTGGGTTGGAGACATTTGGGCGCGTCTTGGTGTTCTTGTTTCCTTTTCTCCTCTCACGTGCGATGCGTTAGGACTTTTTTGATTAGAGACATTTGGGCACGTCCCGGTGTTCTCGTTTCCTTTTCTCCTTTCGCGTGCGACGCGTTAGGACATTTTCGGTTAGAAACATTCGAGTACGCCCGGTGTTCACACCACTCATCTTCGGTTAGAGACATTTGGGCACGTCCTGGTGTTCTTGTTGCCTTTTCTAATCCCACAGGCGACGTGTTAGGATGTCTTTGATTAAAGACATTTGGGTGCATCCCAGTGTTCTCGTTGCCTTTTCTCCTCCTGCGTGCGACGCGTTAGGACATCTTCGGTTAGAGACATTTGGGCGCGTCCTAGTGTTCTCGTTGCTTTTTCTCCTCTCGCATACGATGCGTTAGGACATTTTTGGTTAGAGACATTTGGGCGCATCCCACTGATCTCGTTGCCTTTTCTCCTCTCGCGTGCGACGCGTTAGGACGTTTTTCGTTAGAAACATTTGGACGTGTCCCAGTGTTCACACCATATTTCTCCTTGTGTGTGCAATGCATTGGAATCTTGTTTGACGCCTCGGGTGCGCCCAACATTTGTGTTATTCTTTGCCTTTCCTACATGATGCGTAGTTAAGATTGCATAATTTTCTTACCTCCTTTCTGCATGAAATGTGGTTTAGTTCATATTTACTTACTTATGTTCATGTTTGAGTCTGCTGTACCGTGTTTCGGTTTGTTTAAATGTAGCATTTCTTTTCATGACACTTGTATCTAAATGTTTCATTACCGCCACAATGCATGATCATAAGTTATATTCTCGCATCGTGCATGTCATTTTCATATTGCCTTAGAACTATGCTAGATTGATTCCTTGCAAAGGGATACGTAGGCAGCCTGCGGGCTTAACCATTCTTTGTTTTGCTTGTTTGTTTGTCCAAGTCTTCGGCCTTATCCAAAATGGGTCGTCTCTGGGCTTTGACATTCACTCCTGTCATTTCATGACTTCTGAGTTCTGTCAAAGAGGGGCAACTGTAGACACCCCATTTTTGACCGTCCTCAAGACTTAGACGTCATCGTTGAATACTTGATGATTTTGTATGCTCGTGTTCGCTTTGAGTGTCCGAAGTTCTTGGTCAAGCACCTTGTCTTTGGAGTGTTTGAACCTTATCTACTTTGTACTTGCTTATGGACCAAGAGCTTGTTGTTTCAAATCTGGAGGAGAGGGTGGCCTATCGGCCAACCCCATAGCCTGTCGGCCTTGACTTGTTCCTGTCGGCCATCAATGGTCGCCGGTTAGCTATGCTGGTGGCCGACGGCCATTTGTCTCCTTTTTCAGATATTTGTTTGCCAGCTATGCTAGCTGTTGCTCACTGAAATCCATCTCCATACACGTGCATGGTAGGAT